CCTTCCCGCTCGAGGGCTCGCCCATCTCGCTGTGTCTGTGGTTTGAGCAGTGACCAAAGCTGCTTCTTAAAGTCCCCGGAGCTCAGGTGTGAGTTTACAGAGCTTGGTTTCAGTCTGGAACGCGAGTTTGTGTGTCAGCCCTCGACCCTCCGGCGTTCTGGATCTGTAGAATGCTGCAGAAATGGATGAAGCTTCATGCTGTGAAGGCATGTTTAGTAAAATTAAAGCTACAACGTTCGGGCCCAGATGGCAGCTGTGGGCCCCCTCCTTGGTCTGAGAGCTGCGAATCAACTGATCTGTCTCAGCTAAAGTTCTTGGAATTACTGGGCAATGGTAGTCCTCAATGATGTTGTGCAAGTACTTCGTGAAAACCAAAGTATGTTTCTGTAATCAACAGGTACTGTCTTCTGGAAGGCTAACAGGAGCAGCTAAGTCAACAAATGGAAGAAAACAGTAAGACTTTAGTCATGAATACTATCTAAGTTTGAGTGTAGGTGTGTGCATTTGGGAACCTTGTACTGGTGATACCTCACAACTAGTCAAAAATTCTTTGTATATATCAGAAAATGTTTTTAGCTGCAAGGCAGTGTGACCAGGTTCTAAGCAGCCCATGAACAGACAGACACAAATTGAACAGAGATTTTGCCTGTAGAAATACAGGGTTGACTCTCTTTGCGTGTTTTATTTATGAAGTTTTGAGTTTGTATAGTTACTAACCATATATAAGACTGTTGAGTAAAGGCTGAATTCTCTTTTGACAGAAGTTGTTAATATCTGCTGAGCATGTTTGTTTCAGCAATGCAAAGTTTTCAGAAAGAGAATGATACTTGGTTTCTTGGCAAAATTGATTTACTTTAGTTTCTTATTATTGATTAAAAGTAATTTTTTTTATTTTGCTGCATATTAAAAAGGTAATATAAACAATGAATATGGCTTTTTCAGGTTGGGCTTAAGAAAAGGATGTCATTCTGATGTGGAGTCTGGATACTCTCTCTATTCCACTGACTCTGATGATCAGGTAATTAAATGATTTTTTTAATATGATCATCTCTTAACTAAAGAGAAGGGAAATTGGAATATCTTGAATAAGAGAAGAAAAACAGGTTAATTTAGATACTGCTGCATCTGGACTGGAAATAGCTCCTGCAAAGCTAGGGAGAGTATCTGTACTGTGTCTTGCAGATACATACAGGTAGGCTTTGTGCGCAGTGAGTTTGGCTCTGACGAATCTCTTTGAGGCACAGCATATATTTCGCAAACACAGCTGCACAGTTTATGGACTAGAGCTGGCCCTGGCAGCAGTATAGGCATATTTGTTAGGTTTTATGCCAGAACGAGTGAATTGTATGCAGTCAGTGCTGCGGCGCTGTTTTCTGTGTAGTGCCAAGTCAATTGTCTCCAAAACAGAAATAGGCTGTAAATAATAGCTTAACGGTACATGGAAATAAGAATAAAAACCACATACATGCAATTACCAAAACATAAAATCCAGCAAATGGGCATGCATGCAACAACACAATTTAGTTTTTTTGCAAAATTTGCGTGTTTGCAAACTTCTGTGTAATTGCGAAGCGATACATGGAAAATGACATGGTTTTGCTGGTTATCAGTTGTTCTTTTTCAGGTGACAGAGTGGGGAACACTCACCTCTGAAATAGTGTCTTGATTTACTGAAAGAAAATAGCGATGCTTATTTTCTGACTGCAGTATTCTGTGTGCAGGTTGATACTATTCATAATGGACTTGACCGTTGTGCAGCTTTACTGAAGAGTATCTTACAAAATGAGGCTACAGGTTGTACCTATTGAAAATTTAAGTTATGTTTTTAGTTTTTGTAAGACTGTTTAGATTTATTTTGTTGACTAATTTTTGTTTTGACTAATACTAGGAAGGGAGACTATCCATAAACAACCTGGGAAAACAACTTCTGTTAAAATTACTTCCAAACCTTTGCTAACCAAAGGAAATATTTCCAAGAAGAAAGGGTTGAAAAAAAATGCTACTCTTGCCCATGTCCGAAAAGAAATTGGTAAGTGGGCTTGCTAGGGCTTGCTTTTTTCTCAGACAACCTAGAGAGACTCCTCAACTTACTGAGAAGGGACAACAAGGCTTCAGATAATTGTTGTCATTTGTTATAGGTTGGTCCAGGGCTGGATCCACAAAAGGATGCAGGCATTACTCATTGCCTTTTCGAAACCTTACATGTTTACTGCACAATTACTAAAATTCACAAATATTTGAGCTTCATGTACAAGGAAGAAAGTTGAGTGCGTTTACAAATGCCAACATCATTTAGTTTAGCTGGTAGGAAGTGTGGAGGAGAATGATAATATCCATGCTCCATTTCTCTTGAACGGTGAAGCATGACACTGCTTGGTCTCTGTTTGGGATACACAGCTGTAAACTGTCCTGGAGTTAGGTGTCAAGCCAAGCTTTTCTCAAAGATCAGTTTCTGGAAACAGGAAAGTGTAGCAATAAATAATAACAACTCAAATGGTTTAGTAGCCAGAGCACTTGAATGGAGAGGTAGATGGAGTGCTCTAGGCTGAGTTGCTCTCAGTTGAAATATTTCACTTTTTATTAGCGTTTTTCCTTCTCTCCACCCCGTTTCTTTTGTGTGATTTCTAATCCAGTAGACAGGTGGGGCCTGCAGACTAGGAATGTAGCAGGATGGCTATTTTGTGAATTGTAGAAGGTGAGCACGTAACTGATGTCTTTCCAGCACTGTAAAAACACAGAGTCTTAGTTATACCCAACATACGAAATTTAGGTTTGGAGAGTGCTTTGGTATGGTTTATTCCTAATGGCCTAAAAGCCTAGGAAGCACCTAAGCAGAGATCTTACTGCATTTTAGAACTAGCCTTCTGTAGGATTAAACCTCTGTGCTTCCTTCAAGAACAGCAATCTGTCCAGCTGGGTTAGGTTACTCTGTCTGGAAGAAGAAATGATGGACTAATTTGCTGGTGAGTAAAATTCTGACTGAAATGTGAAGCCATAGGGTCTTTTGGTTTTCTTTTTCAAAGGAACCTGCCAGAGTCTGCCTGACAGCACAGGGAGTTTGTGTAGATCAAGAAGACAACTTCAGCTGGGTTTTTTGTTCTTTCTTTCTCTACAGTGCCAATATCAAACAGAAAACTTGCCTCGTCCACCACACATGCTGAGAATGACCTTTCCGGTGCAGCACAGAATCAGATGGTTCAACCAATTCATGTGCCTTGCAGTCAGCACTCTCCTGTGATGCATCAGAAACTGTGCGAGCATGTGCAAACACAGATGTCTCTGATAGCTGGCCAACCACTGCAGAGCAGTAGTGAAATTCCTACTGTAACTCCTTTTCCTACCTCAAATCACAGTTAGTGGAACTGTTAATATAGAGCCTGCTATTTTACTGTATGAATTTTGCCCGAAATTGTCCTAATCTGAGTGTTGTTTCCTTTTAGGTTGTCAAAACGTTACAACTTTTAATTATCGATTACCTACCTCCACGTCAGCTCTGTCCATGCAGCATTCAGCTAATCCCTTGTCTACTCAGTCAGTAAGTAAAAGTTTAACTCTGACTATTAATAAATGTTTTAAATTAGTACTGCCTATTTATTTATACATTTAAGTGTGTGAGGTTTCTTGAGTTTATGTAATAATTTTCCTTTAAGAAAAAAATTTTGCCTATTTCAACCTATAGTGATGAACAGACTAAATAATGAGAGAAAATACTGCTATTGAAAATACATTTTATGTAGACACCAAAAATGAAATTAGAGGCATTTCAACTGGCTGCTTGTTTCTGTATTGTGAATTCTGTAATGGACAGCAAACATGGGAAGTGCAGGAAATTGCTCATTACTGTTAATAATGATCCTAATGTGCATTACTGAGAATGTAATTAACCAACTCCTGATAAAAGAAATCATATCTCATATGTAGCTTTTCCCTGCCAGTGATGAGGTTGATTGTTTCTTCAGACACTGTGTATTATCTTAGAGCCACGTTTTAAAAAATACTTGTGTATTTCAGAGTATAGGATAGAACTAATGGAGGGTACCAACTGCCGCCTTGGGAAATGTGGTAAAGGGCTTGCCCCTTGAAATTGTAAGACTGTAGACTTACCTTCCATCTGCAGGCAGTCCAGGTATAGCTAGTGCTGTCCTTGACTTTTAAGAAATAAGTCTACTTAAAATATTTAAAGGTAACAGTGTTGTCTTTTATTCTTCCCTATTCTGGTTTGCTTCAAGGAATGAGTGTTCATAAAGCACAAAAAACAAAACATCACTGAGGTTTTTTCTTTACAGAATAGCTGAAAAAGAACTGTGCTTTAATGTTGCCAGTAACATTTAAGATAAAGGTGATCCAAGTGAGATTTACATTTTAATTACTCCTTAATATGCTGGAAAATTATGCAATCAGTGAGGTGTAGTTGCTTTTATAATTTGCAAAGAATGATCAAGACTACATTGAGTCAGACAAGGATTTTCTTAAGATTTAAAAAAAATCATGTTAATTTTTTGTTGAATATGAATATTCTTTATGCAGAATGTTCCTGTAGACAGTGGCAATGAGTGTGTGCCAGAGATGGGAGGACCTGTGGTTTGCCCAGTAGTTTCTGCTGCACAAATACAGTCCGCCACTGCTTTTCCCAGTGTGATCCCTTGTGTAGCATCAGGTGCATCAAGTAACTCTACAGTGCCTACACTCATCCCATCATCTTCTGGCAGAGAGATGACCCCAAACCACGAGCAGCAGATGAAAGAAGCAGATTTGATAAGGTGCATACAAGCTCACCTGGCTCTGTTACAGTCACATGAAATGATGAACGGCAGGACTGGGCAGAAGCACCATCACCACTGTCCACCAAAACATAATGCTTCAAGTAACAAGGAGGAGGATGCTTCTGAAGAACACAGTGAGGGCATGGTCGGCGAAGAAGATGAATTAAATGTACTTGACATAGCCTCAGTGAGAGATACAAGCTGTAAAACAAGTTTTGTGAAGAAAGTTCTAAAATCTAGAAAAGAAAGTCCAGAAGAAACAGCCCATAAAGTTAAGACTGTAAAATATCTTCTGGGAGAGCTCAGGGCACTCGTAACAGATCAAGGTGAGGACACTTTCATTGTGCAGTAGAGGGATTATGTACAAATGACGCAAGAGCTGCGTTAAATGAGTGAGCACTTCAGTTTCTGGAAGTTGGATGTATCAGATGTTATGTGATGTCTCAGAGTGGTTTTCCGTGACTTCAATGGCTTCATGTTTCGCTCTGGATAAGTATTACACTGTTTTTTGGAGTATTTTAACATTATCATAACAGCTAGGGTAAAGATTGTTCTGATTTCATATACTGTGTTTTCCCCTGAGAAAGGGAGGAGTGTGGACAGATTGCAACAGCAATCCCACCAAGATTGGTCAGAGAGATGGTGGGTTGTGATATCAAGAACCGAAAGCATAGTTTTTGTAGTCAAGCTTAAAAATTTTAAATAAATAGTTAAAATAAAGATGAGGTTTTATTGATTAAAAAAAAAGTAGATACTATTATATCACTTTGTAGATTGCTTAATTGCATACAAAGTGTACTGTCATACTACTGGTTTATATGTTTATGGGGTCTTTCTTTCCCTTGCCTCTTGCAGATGATTCAGAAATGTTGAGGTTGATGAATGAAATAGAAGACTGCATATCCCTGCTCCCAGCTGTAGTGGGAAATATGAATATACAAGCTGAAATAGCACTGGCTTTACAGCCTCTCAGAAGTGAAAATGCCCAGCTGCGTAGGTTAGTAACTCATCAGTGATTCTGTATTTACTGCAAATGAGCCTAAAGCGTCTTTAACTGGTCTGTTGTAAATTGCATATTTTGTCATTGCTATGGTGTGTGACGGCCCTTTCATTCTTGTCTGTGCAGTATTTATATATTAGAAAGTGTATTTGTACCGCTGTGTAGTTTAAAAATAAATGATTAGCAAAACTTCAGTTAATATTGTTGTTTTAGTAGCATCAGTTACATCGTGATTGGGCCTTTGTGTAGGTGGGGTCAATGTATCATTCTCTCTGAAAACTGCAGTATCAAGCTAGTTAGCTTGCTTATATTCATTCTGTAGTGTATTGTCAAATGCAGAAATGGCTCTCATTTCAGGGGAGCTCTCAAATACACGACTGGGTAGCACTTTACTTCAGAACAGAGGGAAATATATTTACCAGAACTTGCAAAGGGTCTTTTGTGTTGAAGAAATACAGGAATGTAAGAAAAATGCATTATTAAAAATTTTATATTTCAGAAACATTCTGGACATATAATACTCAGTAGCAACTTCCTGCCAAGTTAATTTAAATGCAGTGGTTATGAACTTATTCTGAACTTTCTGAATTTGTGTTTTGTCACAATTCACATTTAGGAGACTAAGAATATTAAACCAGCAACTCAGGGAACAAGAAAGAAGTGAGAAGGCGTCTGGACAGAGCTGCAACTATGAATGTAAAGTACTAACAGGGAATGATGCTTGTTAGGGGCATTTTTGCGAAAGTTTTATTTAAATACAGACATGTATATAAAGATACAGATATATAAATAAAAAATAACAGTGTGTATTGTGGCCTTTTGTGGCAGCTGAACGAAGTGTTGTGGGTCTAATCGCGCTATTGCATTTGCATGGATTGTTGTGCCTGTTTAGACTCCACCTAGTGAGACTCGGCTCTTCAGCTGCCGAGCAGATTATTTTTCATTATGCGCATCTTAAAACGAAGGTGATAGATAATTAAGAAGAAAGCTTGAGTTTTATCTTGCGGCCTCAAAAAACCTTTCTATCTGTAAGAAAAATTCATATTACCAAGATTATTTAAACACTTAGTTTGATTTAGACATTCGAGCTGTACCACACAAAACACTTAAAATTTTTATGTTTTACTTTTGGTAGTAGTTTCTTTGCAGTCCTTGAATACGATGCTCCAGAGTCAACTGAAAGAATCGTTGAAAGGCCTGGAGTCACTGCAGGCTAAAAATGAAGAGCTACTTAAAATAATAGAAAGTCAGAAAGAAGAAAATAAACATCTTGCAAAACATATTCAGGATAAAGAAGAAGAATTGCTTGCAAACAAACAGCATTATGACATTCATTCCACCAAGCTCAAGATTGGTACATGTTTTGAATTTGTTTATTCTTCATTTAGTGTTTTAAAACTTATATAATTTGGTAAATTCTTCTTGGCATTTTAGAAGTGGAGGAGGCATTAGCAAATGTGAAGACCCTTCAGTTTAAGCTGGAAGCTTCAGAGAGAGAAAACAAGATTTTGGGCATAACATTACGTCAGCATGATGCAGAAGTTAACAGACTGCGTGAATTAACCAGGTACTATTGGCTAAGCTATTTTTTTAGCTCTTGATATGGGGGTGTTTTACCAAGGGTGGTTTGTTTTTTTTTTCATACTTTGAATTATTATAATCTTAGTATCTTGGTGGTAGGAGGTCACGTAAGCTATAACTTCTCTTTGTAGTTATGTTTGCTACAATGGTGCTATAATTCTGTTGAAACAGGGTTGTCATACACCATGGCTTGAGTTCTGTTGTAAAGTAAAACGCTATCTGCCATAACTTGTGTTTTAACTCTTAATGGCAGATCTGCCAGTAAGGAGATCCATGGGAAGTGCACGGACCTGAAAGCTAACTGATGTTTCCCTTGAAGCTGTAGAATTTGGAAACTTAACTCTTAACCTGAATTAAGAAGGGATTTTTTATTTTCTTTCTTCCTTTGCGCTGGTTCAGAAATTGGTCTTTTTTGAGAAGAACTCGCAGAAAGGTCTGTCTTCAGGACTCACAGCAAGCTCTTCCTTTGGGAATGAGCAGTCCTTTCTTTAATCATACACACATTTGAAGTAGATTGTGCCCAGGTATTAATTACAGGTAAAGGTGGGAGTCCTTGGATCACTGAAGGTGGTGTTACTTACAGTTTTTTAGAATTATTACTGTTAGTTTATTTCATCATGGTCTTTTATGATGAATATAATGGTAAGCTGGGAGATTTAAATAACTTTTTGCACACGCATAGTGGTATGTATGCAAACTTTGTTTGAACATGATGTGCACAGAAGTTAAACTGTTGTCTGTCTGGTTTGTAGTTGATACTGATTGGAATGGCAGAATACTTTTAATCAACACTTCAGATTCTTTAATAGAGGTTTAGACACATTACTCACTTCGATGACTGCTATACTGACCACCAGATGGTAGTATAATGATGTCTTACTATAAGTGTATATGTATATGCTATATACATAAGCATCTAAGTGTTCATTTCTTTTGATGTACAAAGCAGAAAATAAGAACTACTTATTGTATTACTTTTTTTTATTTAGATGCAATGGGAAGAATAATTCAGAAAAAATGTCTCGCTGATTTTGATAACTGTTTCTATATACTTTGTAACAGTTTCTTGACATCAGTTTATTTCATTCTGTAGTACTCAAAGCAGGTAAATTGGGAATAATATCAAGAACTTTGTTGGGATGTGCTGTTAGTTACTTTATAGGCACACTGATCTGGGCTGAGCTGAAGAAACAAATTCAAGAAACTTGGAATTGGTTCACATTTATACTACATTTTATGACAGTGTGTAGAAAGAGAATTGTAACTTTGCCGCAGTCTGATAAATCTAATGTTCTGGTGTTATACAGAAGTTTTTAACTTATTTTTTTAGTGGCTATTTTAAAATCTGATTAATTGACCTTACCTTAACAGAACCTTGCAGGGCAGTATGGCCAAGCTTCTGTCTGACTTAACAGTAGACAACATCAGACCCAAACCTGAAAAAGGTCTCTCAAAGTCTCTTTTGGAAGACCATGAAAAGCAAATGCAACCTGATCCATTTCCTGGGAGTACTTCAGTAATGACTTACCTTAAAAAATTAGAAATGGATCATATTTTGATAGATACAGAACTTCAGTTCTCAAATAAAAGTGGAGAATTAGAAGTGCAAAATCTGGCCTATGAAAAGTTGTATGCTGAAAGAAGTAAAATAAACAGTACATTCTCAGAAGAAGGAAAATCAACTCCCCGAAGGCCACCAGCCTTGCTGAAGCAAGATGCAGAAACGGCTAGTGATTCTGGGACTTTACTAGATGAGCAAAACAAGTTGGATGAGACTGTTTATATTCCATTGACTAGCAGTGCCTCAAAGAAACAGTTGCCAATGTCTGAAAGAGGTAGTGTGCTACCCCACGGTAGAGGGGCTTCTAAGATGTTGGACTACCACTGTGAGCTCTCAAACTCTGTGCAGCAGAATGGAGGTGAGATATCGAAGGATCCAACTGTTCTGGATAAATTAAGTGCTGGGTACAGCGTGAAGAAGGCTGTGGAAAACACGCTTGAAGTTACAGGGGATAAAGTGAGCCCAGAAGGAGACAAAGTCCAAACGAGGCCAAAAGGCACTCCAGGTGGAGCTGCAAAAGGCTGTGCAGATAAACCAGACCAACCTCAGCCTCGTACATACCCTCGCATACCAATGCTATTTCCAGCAGAGATTTCTCAGAAAAAAGGCAGTGAAATAGCTGATTTTAGTTCCATTTCATTTGATGATGTATCAGGGAAGTCTGACTGGAGTGCATCCTCTTTCTCAACGTTTACTTCTCGAAATGAAGAGGAGTTTAAGAATAGTTTAGCAGCCTTGGATGCCAACATAGCTAGGTTACAGAGAACTCTGCAAAGTAGCACTATGAAACAGTGAATGTGAGGAAACAAAATGGGGTGCACTTGTTCGCATTATTTAGGTTTTTCTGAAGTATGTTAATAAGTATGGTACGGATACAAATATTTGTATTTTTTGATATGAAATTACTTGTTCCTAGCTGTTTAAATTATGGATGGGATTTATTCCTTATTACGCTGTGGTGCTGCTTCCCTTGTTGTGTACAACTTGAAATAACTGGTACATACGCCTTTTTTTAAATTATGACTTAAGTTTATACTGTTTAATTGCAAAATTAATTCTTGGAACAGCATTTGATAACTGTTTTAAGAAACCCGTGCGCTGTTACTGATACAGTTTTTCTATTAAATTGTAAAGTACACTTCCATGGTTTTTTCTGCATGCTTTTTCAAAGTAGTAAGAACAGCATTGAGAGAATGCATTTGAAGTCAGTTACAGATGTGATAAAGAGAATTTTTTATTTCATTATAATTTCACTGTTATAAAATTGGATTGTAATTATTTTCCTTGGTTATGACTATGTGTTTCAAGAAGCTAGCTCCTTGTTCTGGTTCACCATGAAGGTCTGCAAGCAGTAGTGTCAACATCAAAGAAACGGGTGAACAGGACTTCTTATTCAGCTGCATTGCTTCTTAATCCAAATGGGGTTTAATAAAGAAGTGGGAATTTAACTGGTGAAAGTGTAGCTGCCTTCAGCATAGAAAGTGTTCTGCCTTGACTAGATAGGTCTCTTCAAGTTGGTTTGGTTTTTGTTTTTTTAAGCAGAAGTTAGGTGCAGAAGGGTAAATTAAACTTCCTTTTTTTCTTTTTTTTTTTTTTTTTTTTTTCCCTTCCCCAAAGAGCAATTAGCAAGGGAACCATACATGGGCAGGAGGTTCCACAGATAGACGCCAGGGAAGAGCAAGCTGCAGAGCAGCTCTGCAGGAGCATTGAGAGTTACAATTGATAAGTCAGGATCATGCTGTGCAAAAAAAAAATGCAGCCATTGTATGGGATTTGCAGTATATGGAGAACCTGTAAGATACATGAAGTAATCCTTTTTCACTCATCGCTGGTAAAAGTCAATTTTCAGTTTGGAGTATTGTGCTTCAAGAAAGAAGTTAATTAAGTGGAGAGTCCAGATGAGGGCAAGAAAAGAACCGTCTAAATTCTGTTCTTTTCTACAATTCTGTTTTAGGTCATAGCTTTTACAGATGTTCAATTTTATCTAAAGTAAAAGAGAATACAGTACCAGTAGATAAACACAGAACAGCCTGATGCTGAGAAACGGAAGCAGTAACAGGCTTCAGCTGACAAAAAAGTAGACAAATTGGGCATTAGTGAAAGCTGGCAAACCAATACAGTTAGTGAAGCACCAGAATATACAGTGTGAGGAAGTCATGGAAATTCCACAGTTGTCAAAGTGTCAAGCATCTATTGGGCATAAATACAGAGAGTCTGGACTGAGTCACCCAAACTGGCTTTCACAGCAATAGGAGGGGAATGATTCCAGTCCGTTGTTCTCCTTGAAACGGTCTGTCCAAATGTCAATGTCAAGAACATACATCAAGGAAGCTTTGAAGTTACAAGTATGGGAAGGTGGTGTTATTGCCACCATTCTGTTCCTCTTTTGCCCTTAGCAGTGCTTGGATGCAGTTTTTCATGACTCATGTTTTTTCAGGGAAAGTATCTTTGCAATGGGAACAGCAGTATAAGGACCTGATTTTAAGACTGATTTTTCTGCAGTGTTGCTTAGTATTTTTTTCCTCCTAGAAAGCATTAATGTGCTTCCTGGTGCTGGCCTTTTCTTTTATGTTTTCATGTGGGACAAAAGGCTTAACTCTCCTACTTTGAAGAGTTTTTTTTTCTTCCATAGTTGCTTGAGTGAACGCATTTTAAGGTATAGGGCACTATCCATACAATGTGCTGTGGAGCAGTTCTGTGATTATTTTAGTTACTAGTAACTGAGCAATAAAAAGGTACGAGACATCACATACTACAGAAGATGCCAACTGGCACTCCTGCTTCAAAAAAAGAAAGTTAGACTAAATAGTGACTTCAGTGATTTAGAATGCTTTTAAGGCTTGGTCTGAATTTCTTACTACTCTCCACACTATTCAAGCTCAGATTCAAAATAAGGTTGATAGCACAAAAGTGGACACGTTTTAATTAAATATTTACAAGCAGTTTTAGTGTAGAAGAAAAACAAGACTCAAATGATGATTATGGCATGGATTAAAGACAAGCTACAATAAATTCTAGTCTTTAAAACTCATGAGAAGACTGAGAGAAGTTTGGAAGAATATTCATTAGTAGACAAACTAGTTCAGTTTTCTTCTTGCACTTGGGACTGTTACTCCGTTTGAGGGAAGATACTTGTCCTGGCCAAAGCTACTTGCAATCTGCATAAAGCAGCTGTGGTGTCAAGATGACCAAGCACGTTCTTCTCGCATTGAGAACATTTACACTCACTTTTATCTCAACGGGGAAGATGTTACACCATCTTACTTGTGTCCTGTTCATCGTTACAAAGTTAGTTCTATCAAAGCGTGAGATGACTACTGGAAAACAGTTTTGGGGATAATGAGATATGAGCAGGTTTGTGATGTGTATCATTCTCTTAGGAGGAGAAACTAAGAAGAAGAAACAGGAAGAGTCTTCTTTCATACAGTTCTTTGTTTTGTACTCAGACATGTCCATCAGAGCTGTAGCAGCTTTAAATGAAATGTGAAATTTCCCGTATATGGGCATTATGAATATGGACTGTTGTGGAAGAGAAAGCCAACAAGATCAAATATGTTAGTTTTTAAAAGGTGGGAAAGGCTTCCAGAATTCAAATCAAGACAAGGGCATGGAAAGGAAGCCAGCATGACTGGTGTTCAGATAGGCTCGACAGACAACAGGTAATGGTAACATCTCCTACAAAGTCGTTGTTTGAATGTGTTGTATGAAGTAAATAATCCCTGGAGAAGATAAAGGAAAGATTAGAATTTGCACATTTTGTCACATACATATTTTGACCACTCAAATTTGCATAATCTTGGAAGTATACGGTAAATAAGATCCCAAGTGACTGAGTGGAAAGAAATACTTATCTTTGGTGTCTAGAACGGTTTAAATTTTTTTTTTTTCTCATTCCTATAGTAACAAGGTAGAAATCATTATGGACCAACAGCATCACCTTTTCAACACCAATGCTTGGAACATTGGAGTAGCTCATACTGCAGCATGTTGTGTCCAGTTCTGGGCTCCCCAGTTCAGGAAAGATGAGGAGCTACTGCAGAGAGTCCAGCAGAGGGCTACGACGATGATGGAGGGGACTGGAGCATCTCTCATATGAGGAAAGGCTGAGGGAGCTGGGCTTGTTTAGTCTGAAGAAGAGAGGGCTGAGAGGGGACCTTATAAATACTTATAAATATCTGAAGGGTGGGTGTCAGGAGGATGGGGCCAGACTCTTTTCAATGGTGCCCAGCGATGGGACAAGGGGCAACGGGCACAAACTGAAGCATAGGAAGTTCCGTCTGAACATGAGGAAGAACTTCTTCCCTCTGAGGGTGACGGAACCCTGGAACAGGCTGCCCAGGGAGGCTGTGGAGTCTCCTTCTCTGGAGTTATTCAAGACCTGCCTGGACAAGGTCCTGTGCAGCCTGCTGTAGGTGACCCTGCTTAGGCAGGAGGGTTGGACTAGATGACCCACAGAGGTCCCTTCCAACCCCGAACATTCTGCAGTTCTGTGATTTTGCTGCTCTTCGCCAGTCGGGATGTGACATGTTCTTGTCGCTGCATAAATTGAGAGTTACTAGGATTCATCCTTGGTCCAAGCAAGTAGGCCTCAGGCCTGGGTCTCTCCATAGACTTCAACACATTCCTTTCCACACTACTTCTAGGAACTTTTGGGTCTGATCTAACTGACTGAACTACCTGGCTGGATTCCAACAGCAAACTTTGTTTCCCAACTAGCCCCAGTTACACTTGCTAAAAACTGTAACTTTCCATTTGGAAGCAGGACAGAATTTTTACCTGCGTAAATCCAGCACTCGTGTCAACTATTCCAATAACAGCAATATAATCTTCGGTTAACTTCTGATTTTGGACATATCCCTACAGTGAGGGACAGTCATGACAGGCAGAGAAGTCAAAGTGTGACACAGAATTCAAGCTCGATTTCTGTTCCAGGTTTGTTAAGGATACTTTAGGATAGCTTGGAAGAGGCAAGAGAATACAGTAATGAATTGGACCACAGTGTCAACTATGCGAGTAATTTTTGTATTAAACATGAAATTTTGCTGTTGCTTCTTAAAAAAAAAAAGGTAATATTTAAATTCAGGCAGATACTTTGTCTCAGAAAAGTATGGACTTCACACAGAGCTGAGGGATCAGACAAAGGGTAACCAGCTGTGGTGCCTCAGTTTCTGTGGGCTCAACATCTCAGGTGATGTTTGAATGAGCAAAGCTAACAGTAGTGTAGCAGCCATGAGGTATCAGAGGCAGTTGGAAAGGAACCATCTCCTCAATGTCTGAAGATCTCTTCTTCCTCACCTGCCATTGTACTGTGGTCGTGGAAAAAACAGGCTAAGCTTTTCTTCCACTGTATTGGTAGTTGTTGTAACTTATTTTGTAATATATTTTCAGTATTTACAAAGATTTGCAGTTGAAACTTATGATGCCAAATTAAGAAAAGTGCAACTAGTTCAGCTGAGTTTTAAGCACAGGTAGCTGGCTGATCCTACAGCCTAACACGTCTTCAGCAGAACTTTCCAGCTTGTCCAGCGAAGCTGGTTTCAGGTTGTGTCCATCACTGTATCAGCCTCCAAATATAAGGGATACATGAAATTTGTATATTGAATATTATATCATTGTTCTATGTTCAGCAATAGCTGCTGTGAAACACCTCTGCACTTCCAAGGATTAGCTTACGAGGAACTGCACAGCAGCTGCAACTTCAGTGATCCTGTAGTCTCCTCTAGATTTTTCTTGTAGCCACACAGAGGAGATACAGCAGTTTTATTTTTACAAAGTATATTCTGCGAAATTGACAC